GAAATCCTACAACCATATATTTGGGAAAACATCGAATCCTTGAATCCAAAACATCCATTTCATATGTATAACAAGGAATATACTTTCTCAATTGAAACTTCAAATGCTGTTGAAAATTGAGGAAAGTTGGACTGCAAGCACAGGAATAAGAACAAGAATTGATGATCCTTAGATATCCGCTCGGAAGAGACAATTGTACAAGATCGGAAAGCTGGAGGAGATACGAGTATCTTGGAGATTACAGGAAGTAGATCGAGAAGTCTATTAGAGTTGGCTAAACAGCATCTAACCGTACCATTTACTGTCTATAGTGGAGGTAATTGGCTTGGTCCCGAAGTTTTTACTCAGTTGCATTTCTCCGTCAACAATATTGAGTTATTTATTGTTTCCATATTACAAACTGCAGCATTCAAACATAAGGAATCGAACTTGTATGCTTAATCATCTAAAAATAGATTAATTCCGCACTTCAGGTTGAATTAATAAATAATCTAGAACTTGTAATTTGATAAGCTAGATCGTTTCGCTATTTCACAAGTTGTAACTTAGCATTCTGCAGATATTTCAAGTGGTATCAGAGCCTAATGACATGTCCTGGCCTTAATTTGTCTAGATGAATAGCTCATTATGTGTCCCGCCTTATTCTGATGGCAGTAATTATGCATACTGAAAGGTTAGGATGAAAGCTTTCATTAAGTCAATGGATGAGCGTATATAGTTGAGCATTTGGAATGGTTGGTTTGCTCCCTAGCACTGTTAATGGTGTTGTCACCTCCACTCCCATTGCTAATTGGTCGAAATCTAATATAGATAAGTGCAATTGGAATAGTAAAGCCTTACATGCGTTATTTATGGCTATTTTTCCTGAAGAGTTTAGGCGAATATCTATGTGCGAGGTTGCGAAAGATGTTTGGGATATATTACAAACTACATGTCAGGGAACTCAGACCGTTAAAAATTCTAAGTTGCAAATACTAGCCATAGGTATGAGGAGTTTAGAATGAGAAATGATGAAACATTTGATGTCTTTTATGCAAGTTTAAATGACATAGTAAATTCTAACTTCAACCTAGGTGAGAGAATCCCCAAGTCCAAAATAGTTAGAAAAGTCATTAGATCTTTACCTGAGCAATTTAGGCCTAAAGTTACAATGATAGAGGACAGTAAG